CCCGCCACAACGCCCGGCTATTTTTTGGTTGCAGCCGTCATTGTTGTTTTGGCGGGTCCGGGCTGGGGATTCGAACCTGCCACCTTGGGTGTACGTGGCTGGCGCCTTAGCCGGTTGAGCTATAGGCACTGAGCCTTCACCTCAGTTTTTATTTTAAGTTCTTCTAGACTTATACATTAAATGATATACAGAATATTCATTTTAAAAAATTTTTATGTCACTTTCTTAGTACTAGTCTTTGTTCTGTTTCTTAAAATTTCCATTCACATAATGTTACTGAATATTATTGAGAAAGGCTCATAAGTGGAGTAGAATAAAAAAGCCCTAAAACAGAAGCAAGCATGTAAGACTTAGTATCCCAGCCTGGGCAACACAGTGAGACCCTGTCTCTAACAAAATAAAAAATATTAGCTGAGCATGGTGATACATGCCTATAGTTCCAGCTGCTTGGGTGGCTGAGGCAGGAGGATCTCTTGAGCCCAGGAGTTCAGGGCTACAGTGAGCTATGATTGTACCACTGCATTCTAATGTGGGCAATGGAATGAGACCCTGTCTCAGAAAAAAAAAAGGAAAAAGACCAGATACATGTTTAGACAGCATTTCAGATCAGTAGCAATGTGAGACTGTGGGAAGAAAGGGTAGATGTTTGCATTACTACATGAGGAAGGCTACCAAAAAGATTCATTGAGCCACTGGTTGCCTGTGGAGTTAGCAGATCCAATACCGCTCTGCCAGCTTCTTCCATCTAGCTCTTTGAGAGGCCAGTTTAAGCAGCACCAACAAGTCTGGGGATAATGACAACTCATTCATGTTGGCAACTCAGAATGCAGAGTGCTTTACCAACTTACCCCATTAGAGAAGTCTCAGCTTATCAACTCAACTGTTATAGGCCCACCTTAGAAAAAAATTCACCTTCCATTTCCTGTCAACCTGGCTGGAGGGCTTGCAGCACAGCCTAGATATGCCGGTTTTCAACATGGAAGATGTAGATTGAATAGTGATAGGGGATCAGAAAGGTTAAGAACATGTGGAAGAGTCCTAGGCCTAGTAAGCTTAATCTCTTTGGCTCACCTGGCCACTTTTGCCCAGGGATTGGATGAAGCTTAACTAACAAGAGAGATTCAAGACTCTGCAAGCCAAGTTGCATTTGATGATGCTTCGCTTATAGCGCAGGTTGTCCTAAAGATTAGTTATTTCCCTAAACTACTGGTCTTTGTTATTTTGAAATTGCAAAAAAAATTAAACAGTTGGGCTGGGCATGGTGGCTCAAGCTTGGAATCCTAGCACTCTGGAAGGCCAAGGTAGGTGGATAGCTTGAGCTCACGGGTTCAAGACCAGCCTGAGCAAAAGCAAGACCCTGTCTCTACTAAATAATAGAAAAACTGAGGCAAGAGTATCGCTTGAGCCCAAGCATTGGATTTTGCTATTTGCTATGATGCCACGGCACTCTAACCAGAATGACAGCTTGAGACTCTGTCTAAAAAAAAAAAAAATAAATAAAATAGTTATGTTAATCTTAACAAAATTTTCATTTAACACCTTGGGTGAGTTCTGATGTTTATGCTGAATCTGAAGTTTCCCTGTTACACCTTGCTGTTGTTTCTACATTACTTTAGCTTATTGGTTAGGCCAACTTCTGGGAAAAATAGCCTTGTTATTTCCTCATTATGTGAATTGTCTCTTTATCCCTAATCTACATGTCTTGCAAAGTATGCAGGGAGAACATTTGGATTAACCCATGTATAATGAAAGACACCCCAAAGTACTATATTACTGCTATAGTACTATATTACTGATGATGTCCATAGCATCATCTTAGTGGTGGAAAGGTAATGTTATTGGCTCATTTCTATAATTTTACCTGTCTCCTCTCAACATTACTTTCTATATATCTAGGTGAGTGCCTTCCATGTTGGAAACTTGGTAATGCTTTTTGGGATAGAAATATATATTCATAGTATTTTCTTTATATACTTTTTATATATCTAGGTGAGTGCCTTCCATGTTGTAAATTTGGTAATGCTTTTGGGATAAGAAATATATATTCATAGTAAACTTGAGATTTCCAAACATCTACTTCCAATTGTTTCTAAATTAACTCCCTTTAAGAGATGAAACTAGTCATTTTCCTTTCCTTTTCTTTTTTTTTTTTTTTTTT